AAACTAATTCCACTAAATGGTAATCAGTGTGTTATTTAATACTTTAATTTTTCCAGTATGCCTTCTTTATTTTTTCATTTATTAACAGCTGAGCAGCAGAGAGGTAGTATTAGAACAAATAGCTAAATAAAATACAAAGTTTAGCCTTCAGTGTTGGTCTTCATGTAACTGCAAAATTGTCTTTACAGTTATTTCCAGCTCAGCATAACAGATGCTCAGATTTCCTGCTTAGTCCTAATCTTCCTGTAAAGCAGATGGCTTTTTTATAGGAAACAGGTCTCAGAGGTCAAAGCAGGCAATTAGCTGAAGCACAACTCCTGCCACCAGAGGGACCTCTTAAAGCAAAGTAGCAAGGCATAGCATTCCCTTTGTATAGAACCCAGAAACAGATTTACCCCAAATTAACTCACTCATTAACCTTTTAAATTTAGTTAGCAAAAACTCTCACGTTCGCTATGCAGAGCTCAACTGGACAGATTTTATTTTAAATGTAAGGGATAGTACCGAGCTCTGTTCAATAAGATATTATATATACATGTAATTTTCAATATTCATTCAGTTCATTTTGTAGGTAAGCATTCCTTTTCGGTTTGCTTTTTTCCTTTGTAGACAAAAACAATAGTTTAACATGAATTTACATTTCCAGATATATTTTACTGATTCAGAAAAGGCAAGCCCCCAAAATGCTAACAACCAGGGATCTTGGTTTTCTCTTAAATCCAAAATTCTCTGATTAAAATATCCCAAATTCATGTTTTTCTGTGATTAAACTCAAACACCACTATATAGGTATCATCTGAACATAATGTTTTATTGCTATATTTACAATTTTAAAGCAATTTGGAAGCCTACCACCTCATGAATCATTATAATAAAATAAATTCTAAATACTTATATGTTTTGGCATTTGATTTGAGTTTTATTATCATGGAAAATTAGAGCTCCCCCTGCCTTTACTCACAAAGACGTGGTTCCAGCTGCAGCCATCCCCCTGCTGCTTTGTGGCACTGAGCAGCCCTTGCACTCTGCCCCTGTTATTGCCGCTCACTCTCAATCCACAGCCCACCACCCCACCCAGCCCTGCTGGTTCCTCACTCCTGACCTGCAGCTTCCTGGCCCTGCCAGTGCCCCTCACTCTTGACCCACAGTTTCCTCATCCCTCCAGCCCTTCTGGTGCCCCTCACTCTTGACCCGCAGCCCCTTGGCCCTGCCGCTGCCCATCACTCCTGACCTATGGTCCCCCAGCCTCCCCAGCCCTGCTGGTGCCTCTTACTTCTGATCCCTCTAGCCCTGAACTCCCAGACCCTCAGTGTGTGGGGCAGGGGACAGGGGGCGTGTGGGCATAGGCAGCATTATAGGCAACATGTTAAGGGGCTTTGGTCTGTGCCCACAGAGAGGCACAGGCCTGCAGCCTGGTCAGACCAGCACCAGGCAGGAATCTCCTCCATGACCCAGCAGATGTGACAAGGCAGAAGAGGGAGTGCTGTGCCACCATACCCAGCAAGGTGAGGCACTGCAGTGACGATGGTGCAGCATTCTGCTCCCCTGCTGCTGCTGGGCAGGTATAGGGCACCTTGGCATGGCAGCACAGTGATCTTCGTGGCAGCAGGACAACATGGAGCCTCCCTGCCCTCCCGAGCTGGGTCTTGCCCACTGGGCCGCAGAGGTGGCTCCTGCCAGTGCTGGTCCAGGCAGGCTGCAGCCCCAGTGCCCTGCTGTGGGTGCAGAAATCTGGGGGGCACGTACCACAGGTTACCTACAGCACCCGCACATCAACTATGGTCCTGCCTCCTTCCCCCCATGTATCGCCTATGCTTCTCCCATCCAACTATGCATTGCTTATGCCCATCCCCCTCCATAAACCTACTTTCAGAGCTAAAGGAGCTGCTCTTCACCATGTTGCCTGGCCTCATTGCTGGCCACATGCACGTATGCATATGCACATGCATGTGGCCTCCCTGTCTCTGACTGCCCTTCTCCTGCTCCCCCGAGCCCCAAGCACTTGCCACGGGCTGGAACTCTGTCAGTCTGTGAGGGGAAACCCAAAGATTCCCAGGTTTTTCTCCTTTAAAAGGGAAAGTCCACGATTTTCTCCTTTTAAAAGTGGAAATGGAAAACCTGGATCTCTGTTGATAACAGTACAGATTTGAAGATATTTTCTTTTTATCTGAATGTAATCTGTCCAGAACTTCATTTAAAAAAAGGCTTATTCTGAAGCATTTGGGTTGTGGGGGGCTTCCAAAGCGAGGTGAAATTTTCACAAATATAAACCTATTTACATCTCACTGTGATATAACATAAAGGATACATAAAGAAAAATAATCTTTATTAATTTGTTTTCTTCGTTCAAGCTTGTGGCTATACGAAATTTTTACTTAAAATTATATTATTATGTATGACCATGCACATGGAGCAGGTGTTTGTTTAACTGTACAATGTTACAGAACGATAGCTTAGTTCCATAATGGCTTTTTTCATCATTAAGGTTACTAAAAAGAATGCAGTGAGAAATATATCTCATATTGCACTGCATGTACACATAGCTCCTTTGTTACTAATACTTGTAGTTGTTTTCTTAAGACTGACAGATTTAATTCTGTATATATTTCTATGCAGCAGATTTAATTCAGTATAGTTTCAAGACATTCCACAACTACTTCAAAGGGATAAAAAAGCAGCAGGGTAACTGAGTGGGGCATGACCTGGGCAGCAGCCTTTGTGGGAGGACATAAAAAAAGCAGTTGCTACTGCAGTCTACATGACAGAAGGGAGTACTGCCCCATGCATCATGGCTGCCCTGGGTGCGGATGTACCCTGCTATGCCTCTGAGAGAAAGGAGTTGATCAATCCTGACTAGTAACTGAAAACAGGAAGGGAAGTGTTCTAGCACAGGTGGCTGACTGTAGCTAAGTTAAGCATTCATCAAACTTCCAACTATATCACATCAACAGTATCAACTAAATTGTCTCTGTAGCTAATAGTACAACTTCAGAGGGAAACTTAGGACAAAGGGTATGGGTAACATACAGCTATTTACTGTAAGTCATTAATGAAATGTTAAAAAAAAGTTATTTAAACTTTTACTACACGTCAAGAAAAAACATGGATGGCTGTTACACTGCTGTGATACTGATATGACTTTTATTTAGGTAACAGCATTGATGAGCTTGGTCCAAGCCTTTTAACATTCAGTTGTTTTGATCAGCACAGATAGTTTACCCTGTAAAAATATGCTCCTTACCAGCTCTGCAAAATCAGCTGCCTCCAAATCACTCAGTGCTGTATCAATTTCCATCTGAAATATTTAAATGGTGAATATGAACACCTTTTGCCAACAAATTTACTTACAATCATTATAAGACTGTATATAACATAGTATTGATAGCCTCAAAAGAGTAAGAAAACACAAAGACGTGGTAAAAACTGCCATGTGTTTTTTGCAGTTCCCCCAGACCAATAGCATCAAACATCAAGGATGTGAATTCTGCAAAAAGAATAAAAGAAATATCTTTTGCAGTTTTTGCATATTTTTCTCCTCTTGGAATAATGGAAAATATCATTCTACTTGTCTGTCTCCTGCACCTACTGTTTTGTATAAAGGAGATGTCAATCTTACTTTCTTCATGGATTAAAACATGAAGGCAAGAGGCTATCCTGAAATCTGGCAAAGCTTTAGTATCCAGCTGAGTTATTAGAAAAATCTTTTTGACATTGGATTTAGTTTTTGTCTCTATGGAAATTTCCAAAACTTTCTCACAAGTAACTGTTGTTCTACTAAAAAAGCTTTAAGCTTGCATATTTTTAACTAGAGGAATTGTTGGTAAATGTAAGTTTTCCTAAAAATACTTTTATTTAAAGAACAAAAGCACCAGCCACTCAGCTTCAAGACTGAAATGTGTTACTAAATGAAAAGAAAAAAACCTCCCAATCTCTACAATGTAATACCATGGCACATGCTTCAGGCTATGTAAACAAGCCCTCTTACTGGCATACAGTTGGCTTTTCAAATTGATAGAAATGCCAGCCATGCTGTTGACAATCAATTAATATCTCTTAATTTCTCTTTTGGTTGTAAATAGACCTCTGTCCCATTCAGAACAGATATTCTTATGTTTATTATTAGAAAAATGTTTATTCCTTCCTTACTTAAGACTGAATCTACCTTCCAAATAGAAACACAATTTTAACTCAACTTCACAAAAAACACTTCACCAGAAATCTGATATTGTGCAACTGCAATTGTTTTTCTGAAAAATGTATACAAATCACAAAATGATTAAAAAAAATACAAGCGTTTAAAACTGGATGCATCTACATGTGCATTAATGTGCTGTAGTCGCTGTGCATTAAGTTTAATACTTGTAATAATAGGTACTAATTCAATGTGCAGTAACATGCTTACTGCACAGTAGAGCCAGCACATGTTTTAGTGATGCTAATGTGCAAAAGACTAATTTGACTGCGTGTTAACACAAAAGCACAGCTTTTGACACGACACGCTAATGCACAGTAGAATTATTTGCATTTAGACGTATATAGCATCTTGTATAGATGTGCCCACTGTCTTTATTTGACATTTTCCTAATATTTTCCTACTGTTTTTGGTCTAGATCTCTAAAACTGAGAAATGTTGAAACTTTCAAATTCACTTCAAGTATTTCCCTGGCTAACAGAAATACCTTTTACAGCCTGGTCTTCAACATCTGGAAAATCTAAACTGGGTGCATCTACACAAGAGATTTACTGCAGAGTAGATTAATTAGCTCAGCAGGAAAATGTCCTTGTCTATATGTGCAAAGCTATTATGCTGGAGTAAACTAATAACTCTTCTGAAGGTTGGTATTGCCAGATACAACTTCTATCCTACAGCGGACTTATTTCCTCTGCCACAACACACATGTACATGCTGACTGGGGCATGAGGACGCTACAGTACGAAGCTGCCTGCCAGTTAGCCCTGCAGCGTAAAACCCTCATGCCCCTCCCAGCCCCTCTGCAGCACACCGAGTCATGTCAGAGCAGCCCTCAGCTGGCAAGCTGACCCCAGGGCTGCGCCGCCCTGGCTCAACGTGCTATGGTCATGCACACATGTTGCAACGTGCCCATTTGTAAATACTGCTCCTGGGAGCAATAAACTCCAGTGCAAACTGAACCAGAGCTTTTCGTGGCATTAATATTCATGTGTTGATGCACTCACTGTTGTCTAAAAAAATGTAAAAGCCTCTAGCCAAGTACACTTTTTAGTTACTTTGGTTAAAAAGAAACCTTTCCCCAGTGTGAACTGGTATTAAGTATATGGTTGCCTTCTAAACTTGCAGATGGAGAGACTTAATGTCTCTGCTCCTACTCAGTAGGCTTTCCAAGTTTCAACAGACAGAGAACTGAGCAGCCTCTACTTGTTTTTCCATAATGCTACTGGGATCTCTATAGACAGCAGTGATATTTATAAGGATCAGGTCAGTTTTATTCTGTAGCTGCAGATGCAGACACTGGGCTGTTCACAATAGAGAAGGACCATAAACACAAAGTTAAGGAGAGTTTAAATAGCAAAGATGCCAAGACACCATTTGCAAGAGCCAAGAACCTGACAGCAGAATGAAGTAATAGAGATTTCCCCAGAACTGGAATGGAGGATCAGTAGCTTTGAAGTTGATAGTGAGTGTGATGGCCAGAACCAAAGAAATTAATAAGCAATAAATATGTGCTTCTTGGAGGCATTTGGAACTTTCGTCTAATATGAAGCTTGTATTTTTGTAACCCACAAATGTAACTTGTAACTGTTTGTGGAACTAACTAGGCCTCAAAGACAAAGCTATAGCTGTGAAATTAGCTGACTTCTTTCTCGCTCAGAATTTAGCCTTGATGATGATAAAAACTGGATTCAACTGCCCAGCTTATCCAGTACATTTCAAAAAAGAACATCTCAAAAAAGCATAGTCAGAGAGTTCTGAAGGGGATGGATTTAGGTGGGGTAACGTTAATTTCAAACCTGAAAATGCTGTGTTGCAATTTGCTTATTGGATAAACCAAAGCTTGGGCAGTAACTTATTATAATGATTTCTAACACCTTTTAACCCCACAGGATAACAGCTGTAAAGTAATATTATGAACGGCTATATAACTAAAAAAATTGTATAATTAGGATATAAAAGAACACGCACGTCGAAGTAACCCTTGGGAAGGACCGAACAGAAGGGTCATTCCTGTCCCATACCCCCACGGATCTCTCTTACCCCCTGGGAGAGCGAGGACCAGATCCTGACTGAGGGGCTTCTGCCGGTTCTCCTTTGGGAAGCCCAGTTCAGAGACGTCTGACTTCGCTGATTCAACTTGACGTGCATCTTCTAACTGAGGGACTATTGATAAGTTACTAACCAAGTGGGAACTCTTGGTTAATTTCTTTATCTGTTTTATTTTCACTGTCAATTTTAATCTGTATTGTTATGTTGTCTGTTTATTAGCTTAACCTTTTTATTAACTATTATATGTGCAAACTATATCTTTTGTTGTCATAAGTAAAATTCATTCTTTTTTGTAAGTGAAACTTGTCATTTCTTTCCTTTCCGACATCACCTCCTCGATCCCAAACCAAAAAGCCCAGTGGCTAATAAAGTTGCAGTGCTCAGTCAGTCTGCAACTAAATTGATATACTCACAGTGCCCAGCTTGCCTGTGATAGGCGAGTTAAAAATTGAGTCAATATTTGGAAGTTAGCTTACACAGGGAGTACAAGACACGCCCAACCCTTTCTTATGTTGGAAAAAGATGACAAAAAGAGAGAACTTGTGTCCAGGAGACATGACTTCTTGGGTAGAGATTTTAGCAACTGGAAAATGATGGTGGAGGATATTTAGCTTTCCAGTGCAATATTGTTTCTGGCAAGTGGGTCCTTCAATGCTAGCAAAGATCTTTAGCTACAGCCTTAGTCCTACATTCACGAATTGGTTTCTAAGTGTATTTTTCTAGCACGCTGAATAATTTACCTGACGTGCATCACATCAAGAACTAGATCTGTAAGCAGGGTTAGAGGAAAAAAAAGAAGCACTTCCACACATCCTAGCCCCTCAGTCCAAACACCATGAGCATGTAAGTTAATAGTTATTTATTCCTCACAAAATGGTTATTTATTCCTCACTGTATTAGCTTTAATACCTAGTCAATTGGCTACCTTATTTCCAAGAGTGTAGAACACAAGCAGTAGCCTAGCTATAACTACATCAGTCTGGTGCATATTTTGCAAACTGTTCATTTTTCCCTATCTGGATAGTCCTACTGTGAGGAATACCTGTCAGGACTATGTGGTTGTAGGTACCTCTGATCTTAAAGGAGAGGCAGTTTCATGTTCATGATAAAAGAGTTCACATAGAAAAAAAGAGAAGGCCACACTTGGAAATATGCAGAGGAAGGAACAGAGTCTGTTCCTGCATCACTTTCAAGATTTTTACTAACTTTCTCACAAATCATAAATACTAGAAATTCATGAAATTCTCTTCACAACATATCAGTATAATTTGGAAGTATGAAATTACACAGGCAAGATCATAAAGAAAACTTTCACTTGGTCCCTGTACAGCCATCCCCTGGAGAAGCTTCTTTAAAATGGAGAGTGAATTAATAATTTCTTTAGACTATAAAAAAGATGAGCGTGCATGAAAGATGGATTGGGTGGATGCTTTCAGAGTGGAGTGGAATCATGGGAAAAAATATAATTAGCCTTAAGTGTTTTAAATGCACACTTAAAAATAATTTGAGTTTTTTACTAAAAGTGGAATCTTAATTGGAATTTCCAGACTGTTAGTTTTTAAAGAAAAAAGCACTGTTTTGGCAGGTTTTTGTCTGAAAAGCCATGGGGTCCTTCAAACTTAATTCCAGATTAATGAAGACTTTTTACCTGGGAATTATACATGAATTTCTGTAGAAACATATTCAATTTGGACACTACAAAAATATTAGATAGTATTAGATAACAGTACTACTAATAATTTACATGTTTTGTGCTACATTTAAGTAATAATGCCAGTTGAAAATTATTTTTAAATCAAAAAATGAATGGATTCTGAAAAACAGAGGAAGAAGATGAATCTGTTGGAAAACAGAACTGTAGTGTATCATTTTGAATTCTGATGTCCTCCCATTTCAGAGCTTGAAAATGGGGAGAAAAGAGAGAATAAAATTAAGCAGATCCATTGTGTATAATTCATGCTGTCAGACACTTCCTGAATTAAAAGAATGTAAAAATTATCCAGGTCCAGCATATGGACTCTGAGGAAGATTATTTTGAGAGTCTCTGTATGGCCCAGAATCAGCCAACTATTCAGATTGCTTCTTTAATCTATGGCATTTTATAAATTATTACACTATAGAAAATATATGGTGGAAATAACTGTAGAATGAGCCATCCTTGAAGCTATAATCAAGGGTTTCTAATACTATCATTCCACTGACGCCATGAGGCTGAATTATAACCTTCTTTAAACAACTAAGTGGGATTTTCAAAATAAAAAATGTAAAATGTGAGTACTAATCTATTCATATGTTCCTAAAGTTACATGTCAGGAACAAAATTCCTGTGGTCCTCATTTTTTCAATGATAGACATGTATTCGGTTTAACAACTGTGGAGAAAAGGTTAAAATACTAAGTTAGATGGGAAAATGCTGTTAAAAGTAATGAGTTTTCTTTTGGTCACTACTGCTTTAAATTCTAGCACTGTTATGATAACATACAGAATCTGAGATATAAGGCCTTGGGCATGTCATGTTTGTAGCAGTATACAGGCCCTTACAGTGCTATAAAAAGTGAGCATTCATACATTTAAGCTGTTTATAGCACTACACAGATGTTGGATCAGCTAGAAAAATGGAAGATCCACTCCAAAAACATTCCTGTTTCAAACAGGAACTTTTGTGTAATGTGCGGGAAGTTACATACAGTGCTACAGGGAGTCTCTCAAACCCCCAGCATCCCAGGGTGGTCTGCTCTCTCGCCCCATTCCAAGGATCGCTGCTCCCCTGCTCCACTGATTGGCTGCCAATGGGCTGTTTGGCAAAAATTGGCAGCTATTACAGAGTTGCTGATACCTGCTCTGCCAGGTCAGGGATGAGCAGCAAAGACTGATGCTGTGACTTAAAAGGCTGCTGAATTAGGTGTTGCTACTGCTATTATTATTATTACTACTAAAAACCAAGTAGTAAACCTGTGTCATTTTACTTTGGTATGCCAGGGAGAACACTGAGGGGCTAAGCTGCTATTGTTCAGCTTTCATCTGGCTCAGCAGTGAGAACATACAAATGGGCAGTTACCTTAGAAGAACTGATGCACTAAACATCCCCAGCCCTATTTACCTTGTGGTAACCCGTTTGTGCATCCATCCCCTTGCTTTTGTGCTTTGAAAAAGAACATTTTGCAACTTCCTTTTACACTTTCAGGACAGAAACGCAGAAGTATCTGGCCACAGATACTGCTATTCCTGCAACCTGAATGACTGTTAATGTGACCTTAAAGTTATTAGGCCTACAATGAAAAATTGAATCCAACAGTTGCTTTGGTCCATTGCATCTCAAAACAAAAAAAGCTGAATGGATTTCTATGATGTTTCATTTCCTTTCTGATAAAAATAAGACTTTCAGACAGTTTTTAAGTATGGCCTTGCCAAAACAGGCATGTGGGTATGGAAGGAAATTCCTGCATTATTTTTAGCATGCAGGAGAAGACCATAAACACCATAATAGCACTTCATTTTTATACAAATCTGGGCAAGGTGGATCAGTCATAGTAGCCTGACCCTATTACTTGGGGTCACAATCTCAAGGAGGAGTTAAATGTTCCACATTAAAAACAAATGAACTAACACATATACAGTAATCAAATGGAGCTTTTGCCTACTCCTGCAGGTCTACAATAAGGTCCCAAATTATTGGAACTTTCTGATGAAGCATTTAAAAAACAACTAGGGCCTTCATCAAGTGCATAATGAGAGGCTGCAGAGCAACTTGTGTATCTTCAAATATAACTGCAGACAGATAAAGTTGCAGTAAAGTTGTACTTGGTGATGCACAGCATGCCTATGTGTGTGCATGTGCATGTGCACTGATATATACGTATCAGCTGATGTATCAATCAGAAAAACCCAAATGAAGTATCAAAACATGTTGCAGTAATGTCTGTGATGGCATACTGACTCTTCATACTGGGACATTAAGCTAGTGTGAAAATGCAAAGAAAAAAAGACAAAAGGCTATTTTTAAAGGTTTTTTTAACATATAAAGTGTTGTGTTATTTAGGAAATGTTTTATATTAGCCTTGTCATGGCTTGCTTTTAAAGGCCTAAAATGTTCTTATAAAAAGCAGCTGGATCTTTTAGGGAAAAAAATGTAATATGCTACCATTGAACAGGTGTCATATTATTTGCATGCAATGTTCAGGTGGTCAGGACAGTCACTCTAGCGTGTTTCTCTCCTTCCTTAATTACAGTTCTTTATAGTGAACTGAAGACACAAATTGAGGTTGGGGAGAAACAAAACAAGTTATTTTATATGGAATCCCAGGCATTTATTTAAAAATATAAGACAAGAGCTAGCTTTATATGAGCAACAGAAAGTTACACATGTGTGTGCATGCATGTGTGCACACACATACATACACAAACTTTTTTGTAACAAAACCCCAATTGCCAGCTTTTATCCAAAATGCATCGTCATAAAAATTCTTCCCAACATTTTCTCTTGACTCCTGAGTCCTGTCTACACTAACAAAATATACATGACACCAGCACTGCAAGATAACATGACTAAGTGCCGAATATGTTACAGCACAGCTTGGACTTCCTTCAGAGGGCAGAACGAAACCCTGCTGAAACCATGCTACAGAACATGTCCACCAAATAAGGCAAGACCACAATGTGTTATAACACTGTAGGGACATGACCATTTTATACGGAGGTTGCTCCAGCCCAGTAAATTATACAGTGTGAACAGGAAGCAAGTCTCAGAGGACTTGGTAGGGCTTATGGAAATAGTTTTAGGTCTAGTAATTGGCTCCTAAATCACAAGTTGCATAAATAGAAGTACAACATTAAGAGAAAGATCAACCTCCTACTGGAAAAATGGTTAAATGGTCAAAACCAAATTTGTACCATCAATTGTTTTTCCTACTACATTTGCTAGTCCCTCAAGATTTTTTTGTTTAAACAAGGCTTCGCTCTTTTAGTCCATCTTGTCCTCCTACCCAATTACTGACTGAGGTCACCAGCCTGTGGTTATAGTAGCAGTGTTTCCTATGGAAACTTATGTTTGGTTCCAAATTCAGCATTACTGCTCCACAGCAGGATCTGGTAGACAGAAAAGATTATCTGGTATGGGTAGAACATATAAATTACACTTCTGCTATTGAAAATAACAGCACGAATTGCCTTCAGCAGAAGCACAGGGAAACATCTTGGTAAGAAGGTACATGTATACAAAGTTTAGCATTATGTAAAAGCTACTCTTAAAAAGATCTACAAATGAAAATACCTTGACTTCTTGTGGCAATGTCAGCCAGCGTACCCCGGGAAGGCTGTCTAAAAGCAATGCACTGTAGGTATCATAATGGTGAGCACTGGGGCTGGTGTTTGTGTCGAGTCTGATGGGCTGAATTGCTCGCTGGAAGAACAGGTTGAAAAAATGATCCAAGCGAGAAACGTTTTCCACCTGGCAAAAAGCACTGAACAAACATGAACTGAAAGTTAGAATAACATCAAGAAACTTGTAACTTGTTTGTATAACCCTCTGTGCTAGAGCAGATGCTTCAAGGCAGGATAATGTGATTTGAAATTTTTTTTAGACGTGTACTTTCAAACACCAGAAAACAGAAGGCTGTTACTCAAAACACTATGTACAGTCAGAATAAAAACAGATTTGCTAGGGAAAAAGCGTGTGCATGCCTGACAGGAACTACAGATTTTGGGATGAGGCACCATTGCTTTCATCACTGCAGACTTTGATAAATCTACCTGTTTTTCTTTAGTTTAGTAATCTAATTATTTTGAGTGAACCTGGCCAGGTAGGCTTTTTAACGGTTGTTTAACTGATAACAGCAACAACAACAAAGATTTAAAAAATACATTATTATATCACTACTGTATGTTCTTCATAGTTTGTACATAAGACAAAAAGATGCATGTACGTAAGACAAAAAAATCTGGTGCAACTTCCAGAGATGGCTGTCTTGTCTAAGAGAGAATAACAGAATAAGCTATTAAAATATAAACTCCCTTTGGAGGCATTTACCTGTCCAATGAACGATACATAAATTTTAAGGTTCTGACAACATCCACAATCATGTTCCTTAGTTGAGAAAGAGGTACACTAGATGAAATGAAACAAAATAAAACCAACGTATTTTAAACTGCACTGATAATAAGAGAAAATATATCATGGATAAACAAAGAGCAAATTTCTGAAAAAGTAGTTTCTTCAGGAAAGACAGACTGTATATACAAAATGTTTGATAGGAGTGTATGAGTGTTCCTGTTTGTGACTTGCTTATGGTCATGAGGAGATCTGTAGTAGAACTGGAAATAAAGCCCTAAAAGTTCTTAACTCCTTGGTTTGTAACAACTATTATCATTGACACCTAAACCCAAATTAGAACTGTGACTCATTGTGCTAAACTCTGTGTATGCATATAAAATACAAGAAGTCCTCCCTTGCACAGCTCACAAAGTAAGTGTAATCTTTTTCCAGGCATACAGAAGTTTTGTTTAGGGGATTCCAGTTTTGAAATGGCTGATGACCCACTCTTCAAACATATTCAGCTATGAGCTAATTAAATTGAAGGGGTAAGGTCCTGAAACACTTCGTGAAAAAGAAATTTTAAAATGGAGCACAAAGCAGTTGTGAACAAGGTAAATAAATAACTGTGAGAAGTCACAATTACAGCAACTAGCTTTAGTTTGATCAGAAAAGATCATACAGTCTATTAAGGGAGAGTCAATTCAACACAATCTCATTGGTAAAAATTGGGACCTATAGCCAGCTTAACCACAAAAATAAACACACTGTACTTGAGACTCACCTTTCTGCAGGGAGGCCAACTACAAGCAACTTGTCAGATTCTTTCCAGTAAACCACCTGAACCAGCTTACCAGATAAGAAAAGTGATGAACTATAAAACAAAACCATTATAAATTTAATATTAACACTATGACTTTATCAAGGGGCATCATTACTTGTTAGCATTTTTGTAT